GCCTATATGGTCACTTGGATCTGACTGAAGCAGCGATCAAAAGGAATATGAAATAACGAAAAATGTGGGGAATGCACATAAAAATGTGACCCGAGGCGAGTCATTTCCCAAGAATCAGTGAAACTGTTAACACAGCACCGAGGCTCAGAGGAAGAGGGGTTAATGGGAGGAGTGGCCCTGAGTTCTGTGGTGTCCCATGAAATCGAGAAGTACTGAAACCTTTCAGTGGCCGTTGGAGAAACAGGATAATCCCTTACGCAATGATCTATCAGCCAAATACCTTGGAACGCGAGCATCTGGAAGCAGGCCTGGCCCAGGTGCTATTAGACCACAGCATCACTTAACAGTCTGTATGAATGCTGCTCAGATAATGCAGTGTCTTTTAGATGTTACGTCCCATTGAGTCAAGTTGAAATTATGCAGCAGGTTCAAAAACTGAAGGAGATGTGGCTGAGGCAGACTGATAAGCAGGACACAAAGCACATGGTCATGTAAGTCATTTTTTCCTTCAGATTATGAGGCTAAAATGTGTTGCTTGCTCCAGCAAGGCTGGCAGGACTAGGGCTTCCTTGGCTGGGCCTGGAAGGTCCTGGCTTGGCAGCGAGGTACCTGGTGTGTGGAGAGCTGAAATGGAAAAGGGCTGTGGATGTGGGGACCACCAGCCCTTCCCGATGGTGCTAAGGGGTGTCCCCAAAGGATAACATGGAAAGATAAACCTCTCCGAGAGACTTGGGGATAGAGGGCAAAGCCCCAGGATGAGAGAGATACCCAAGGAAGCAGAGCCATCCATTTTCCCTGGTTTTGGACAGCACCTAGAGATCCTGCCTGGGAACATGATTTTCACCTGTGTTGTCATCACAGGTGGGAGTGAGATGCCCCAAGGCTGCCCCTGCCTCGTCCCCAACTCTGCGCCAGGCTGGGGTGCCCTGTGCTGCCTGGAGCATCTTCCCTTGCTCCGCGCCGCTTCCCTCCTTTCCTTGGCCTGTCGCTCCCCCCGCTGGACAGTCTCCACCATTGCCTCAACGCAACCCGCAGGGTTGACACAACCTCAGGGGAAGGGAATTTGGCACGAAAAGGAGAGAGGAGGTTGACCTTGCAACCTGGAGATCCCTCCGGGGCTAGACAATGGTCTAAAGTGTCTGTCATCTCTTTGCCCTCCCTCCTGTCCAATGGTCCTAGGAGATAATTCATCCCCAGAATGATTCCCCTGGGCTCTCTTTCTTTATTGTCATTGGGTTTATCTCTCTATGGTATAAAGTCTGTTTTAAACCCAAAGACGACTCCACTAGCTCCTCCTGTATGCATGTAACAAAATCAACTTAAAACTGATCCTTAAGAACCCTGACTCCAAAGCCAGGACAACTCATCAGGGGACAGTTCCCATGGTCCCTCCTGCCCCTCTCTCAGCGCTTCCTATCCCAGCTGCAGGGAGAGGTGGCCAGTTGGGAGCCATCCCAACCCGAAACCTGGCACCAGGTTCAACAGCAGCGATGCCAGTGGGTGGCAGCAGGTCAGGGCAGCCCAAGCATGGCAAAGGGACGGAGACCATCGGAGCCTGTGCCCCAGGCAGCACCAGGGACATCCCGTGCTGGACCCAGGCAGACCGCAGGAGATCCCCCATGAGCAGCAGGTCTGCGTCTGCACGTGGGCTGCTGCTAGAGATGCCATCCGCCAGGAGCAGTAACTCCCTCAGCTCGGTGCCATCTTATACGGGCATGACCTTTCTAGGAAGGATTTTAGCTAATGGAGTGAACCTGGTTTAAACACCAGCCTCCACATGTCCTGAAGAGTGGCTTCAACCAGCAGATTTCCAGAGGTACCACTAGCTATAGCAGATGCATCTGCAGGTGTAGCTAAATCTTGCAGACTCAGAGCATTTGGTGTCAGAGCAGGCACAGGAGCACCGGTGCAGGGACATCCCCCTGATCCTGGCTTGTTACCTGCCCGTGTGACCTGCATTTTGGATGTTTAAATCACAAACCTTAATGCAGCCTTCATGCCAGTGTTGGCTTCTTTTATAAAAATAAACATCAGGAAAACAGACAGGAAAACACTAATCTCTTCACAACTCCGTCAGCCTCATCTTTTCTCTGCTGAGTGCAGATAAAAAAAAAAAAAATGTTCATTGAACTACTCTGGGTGCAATTTCCTGGAGTAATTAACAGCAAAATTAACCAACTGGGCTCATTGCAAGCCCTGCAAGTGCACTGCAGCACTCAGGTCAGATTTGCTTTTGTCCATCTAGCTTTGGACCTGAATCTTTCCATTATTTTTTTATCTTCTTTTTTTCAAGTTTGCAAACTGTGTCATCGGTCAGCAGTAACCACAGGGAGATTTTCCACTTGGAACGTTCAGTCAAGTTTCTTTTAGTTCTGTGCATGCACTGTAAGGCTCCCTTTGGCTGTAACAGGGAAATGGCTGTTCTGTTCCACCCTTGCTGACGGTATAGGCCTGAATGCTTAAAAAGGACAGCTTATTCCTCAAGTCCTGATGTAACCCCATGCACGGCATTTGGCCCAAGGCAGTGAAATTCCAGCAACTTGCCTGCTCAGCCTGTGAGGATTTAAGGGTTAAGAGAAGCCCAGCTGCAGTTTAATGATCCAATTTAGGGAGATTGCTTTGATGCTCTGCTACAGCCAGGACAGCTGTGCTTGTAATAACACTGAGCAGGCTCCTTTGGGCTCTGTGAGACTGTCAGCACTTAAATATCATCCCCTCCTCCAGGACAGGCTCTGGAGCAGATTCCTTTGCTTGCTGGAGCAGCAGTAACCACCTCTCCTGGTGGAGCCTTTGCTGAGCCTGCTGTAATTCCAAGCTGCTCCCTGCACGAGAGGGGAGCAGGGTTTGAAGGCCTTTGCTCGCACGCGTGGGCGAAGCTGCCCGGGTTGGTCCCGCTGGGAGGCTGGAGCGCGCAGCGGGAAGGAGCGCGGCCGGGCCTGGCGGAGGAGCCCGCGGCGGCGTCCCGGGCGCAGAGTCTCCTGGTGGAGCCTTTGCTGAGCCTGCTGTAATTCCAAGCTGCTCCCTGCACGAGAGGGGAGCAGGGTTTGAAGGCCTTTGCTCGCACGCGTGGGCGAAGCTGCCCGGGTTGGTCCCGCTGGGAGGCTGGAGCGCGCAGCGGGAAGGAGCGCGGCCGGGCCTGGCGGAGGAGCCCGCGGCGGCGTCCCGGGCGCAGAGGGAGCGCCTGGAAAGCAGGTTTGCGCCAAGCGGCCCGCGTGCTCCCGTGCCAGCCTGTCCTGCTGTCCTCCCTCCTGCACAAACCTCTCCTGGCAGCCGCGAGCAGGCTGGGGGGAGGCAGGGGCTCTTTTTAGCCGGGTCTCGTGGATATGAGCAGAGCCCTTCCCCTTTGGGGGCAGCGGGATAGCAGCACCCGCTGGCTGTGCCAGGCAAATAGCAAAGGCAGCCCCTGAGCTGGGAGAGGTGTTTGCTCTGTCTCCATGGAGAAACTCCCTTCTGGAGAGCCCTGGGCTTTCAGGCAGGACCACTGCTGTCCCACCTGGCAGGGGACCTTCCCCTGGCCACCTTGACCACACACAGTCCTTGGTAGGTAGATGCCTGTCTCTGCCTACGTTCACGTTGCTGAGAGCAAGGTAGCAGGCAAATATCTGCAAGGAGCTATGGGGGGGTGGCTATTTATTTCTAGCAGGACCTCTGCCTTAGTTTCTCCGTTATTATCTACATTATTAGGTCTGTAAAGCATCTTCCAACCTAAGCTGTTGGGCAGTGCCCTCACTTATCTCTTCACGTCCTCCACAGCTGCTGTGCTAACAAAGCTGCTTCTCTGGCAGTGCAACCAGGCAGGAGAGCCCAGCCCGGCCACACGCTCCTGCACTGCTGGTGCTGGGTGCTGGCCCAGGGTGCCAGGCTGCCCCATGTCCCTGTCCTCTCGCCTGTCCACACACAGGGCTCAGGTTTGGGTGTGAAGCACCTTGCTGAACTCAACTTCCTCCTTGACTTGCATTTTTTCATGTAAAGCCCTTGTGGCAATGATGGGGTTGAATGAACTGAGTGTTCTCCGTAGGTGTGGATAATCCTGATGAAGATTCTCCATGTTTGGTGGCTGTAGGGTCATGGACAGACCCGATATTCGAGTCCAACGCAGCAGCGTTGTCTGTGGGGCTCGTTTGTGGTTCCCCTTCATTGGCATGGGAAGAAACAGAGGAACACTGGAAGCTTGTTTACTGTCAGTGTTTCAAATCAGTATTTTTTTATTACAGAGACTCATCAGGTTGCTCACATTGTGGCATGAATTTAATAATATAAGGCACAGGGAACATTCAGAGGTAAAAACAAACAAAAATAAAGTTCTCAGCCTGCGAGACATAACCATCCCTTCACTCATGCCAGGGCCTTCTCTACAAAGGAAAATCCAAATACCTTCTCATCCCTTAAACCCCCAAATCCACAATGGAAAAAATATTACAGGGTGTGTGTTGCAAGCATGCCTCTTTCTGAGCAGAAATGTCCCTTCCAAACCTAGCACAGCTTCCCTGGGAGAACAGGGCTGGAATTTAAGAATGACTAAGGGAGAAGTGGAAGTGCTCAAGGGCAGTGTGATTTCAGGAAGCCAAGAGCATTCTCAGCTACAGCAGAATTGCAATAGCAAGGCCAGCCACGAACACCCTGCAGGAATATGTGTGAACACAGAGTCTCTCTTTGCAGCACAGAAAACACAACAGCAGTACAATCACGGAGTGATGGTAAAGCACATAGCATGTTCAAACCTTTATTTTAGAGGGGATTTTACAGGATGGCATGTGTTTCATTTTAGATGTCTGAATTTTTGTGCGTTCTCCTGCTCGCTTGTTTGGTTAGACTTTTTTCTTGTGCCCAATGATTGTTAAATTCAAGCCCTGGGAATTTTTTTAAAAAAGTAACCCCAAATCCTGGCACTCTGGCTCTCCTCTACCTGTCTCTTCCCCCTCTCCGTCCCCGCTACCACACGCTGAAATGCAGCTCTCCACAATGTCACCAGCAGCCGTTCTGCTCCAAAAGCCCAATCTCCAACATCCTCAGGGCCTGCCTTCCCTCGCTTGCGCTCTGTAACTCGGTGGTAAATCAGCTGCGATGTCTTTGCGCCTACTCTGAAGTATCTGAAGAACGTGCTGTTAGTAGGAACTAAGCAGAAGTCTATCCAAGAGTGGATACGGAGATAGGGCGGATATTTAGGATAGGAACAGGGTCAGTCAATTGTAAAGACACTGGAGAGGGAGGGCCAATAAAAGCATGTGGAAATAGCCATGTGAGTAATCTAGTGGTAATAGATTAGGCTATGAAGGAAGATTGTTATTTCTCTTAGCACCGTTACTATATATGTTTAGATCTATATTAGCACCTTGTTCCCAGGGAAAAACAAAACGAAACAAAAGAGGTTTAAAAACCATAGGAAATGGGAAAGTTAAAACAAGACAAAGTTGGCAGCAGAGAGGGAAGCTGGGGCTTTAGATCACGAGATCCTTGTCTATGTCCTCTGTGGAAGGAAGAGAGAAACGAGGTTAGGAGCTGGATTTGCCCTGGGAGACAGACAAGAGCAACTTCAAGGCATCGTTTCAGCCCCGTCGGGAGCTTTGGGGTGTTTTGGGGTGTCTCGTTTGCCTCCGTGCCCTCCCTGGGCTGGCGGGTACTTACGCTCCTTGATGCCGAAGCAGCTGGCCCACTCCTCCAGGGCGATGTACTTGTCATTGTCCAGGTCGCAGGCCTCGAAGAAGCGGGTGGTGCAGTGCTCCATGGGGATGAGGGGGGCACGCAGAGGGGCCAGCTCGGTGTGGGACAGGTACCTGCAGCAAGCAGCAGCGTCACTGCGTGCTCCACAACCACCTCCCCGCGGGAGGGGATGCTCTGCTGGCCACAGCCCCACACTGGGGATGCCCAAGGCCTCCTGCCTCCCTCCCACGTGAGTGTCCTCCCAGTGTCCCCCACTGGATGCAGTGAAGGCTGGGGATTAGTGTCTCCTTTTGCATCTGCCCCTGCAAGTAGCATCAGAGGCGGCAGCTGAAGGTCCTCATTGCTGCCCCAGCCAGTGTGTGATCACTCGGGCAACCACCACCACCACATGGCTAAGCCAACACCTGCTATGTCAGCTGCCAAAGTTATCCTGGTGCCTTTGGAGTTAGATATTTTAGGGAGCTATGATGGGATATGTAAATCTGAGAAGACCAGAACTCCTCCCATGGGTGATGAGAGCAGCTGAGGCTGGGATTATCCCTTCTTTCTGTAGAAGAACTTTTCACTGAAGTCAAAACTGTCTCCACTCCAGGCAGGTTCACCCTGGCTGCAGCCAGCTGGGTGCTGGTGTTGTCCTTCAAGAGGACTTTGCCTGCACCTTTGCCATCAGCCACCTCTGTCCTATCTCTGGCCTGCCTTAACTCCTGCCATGACTGAATCATCTTTGTGATTTTGTCAGGCAGGAAAGGGTCCCACCAGGTGCCCCATCCTGCTCTGCAGCCACTCACCCATCAATGGGGTGCTGGTCCAGCTGGCCAAACTGCCAGTGCACGGGGAAGATGTACATGTTGTAGTTCTTCTCAAAGTCCCGGGCCAGCAGCTCCACAGTGTGGTCACCAGCTTCCAGGCGCTTCTCGTTCTCATGGATCTTCTTCACCTGTGATAGGAGATGTCAAGGAGACCTTGTCAGCCAGGGTTAGGTGGGGCATTGGAGAACCCAGGAGCAGCTTTATGTGAAGTACCCAGGGAAGTGTGAAGTACGTTCTGGATGGATGTAAGGAAGAGTTCTCTGGGAGGATGAAGGGAGCCTGTAGGAATGGTGCTGGTTGAGTGTTTATGGGTGACATTTCACTCTCTGCAGGAGCTGCACAAGTGCATGTGGACATGTTCTCCCCAGGGGAGCTGGATTAAGTGATCTCCTGAGGTCCCTTCCATCCTCAACCATTCTGTGATTCGGTATGCTGGGGTGAGTTTCCAGGATCCCTCCCACCTCAGCCCCTCACCTTGAGCTTCTGCTTCTCGGTCAGGAGGTTGTTGTCCTCATCACGCTCGTACAGGGTGATCAGCACGTTCTTGAGCCAGTCCCGCATGCGCAGGGGGAACTCGGTCAGCTCTGTGTCCAGGCAGGCAGGGATGACTGCAGCCAGCACATGGTAGTCAGCACAGCACCCAGATGCACACCCCAGCACCCTCCCAGCGCAGCCCTCAACCTGCCTGAACCTTTGCTATCTACTTTTCTTGAGCTACTTGTTTCTCACTCCCAGCTTAAATCCCCTCTGTTGCCAAAAAAGATAGAGGTGATTGGAAATGGGTTTCTGTTTCAGCTGACTTGGAACATTATCAAGGACATTGGTTGCAAGCTGGGTGCTCAAATGCGAGATAAGAAGGGATTTCTGTGGCTCGTGTGAAACTTGCTGGCCTCCTTCCCTGGTGCAGAGTCCTTGATGCTGGATGGATGGCCTCATGGGGGCAGCTGGGGTGCCACCAGGGACTGCTTATAGTCATGGACAGGGCAAACAGCCAGCTCTGGGACTGTACTTCACCCTCTTCAAAACTTTTCCCTGGGAACAAGTGATCCCCATGGCCTTTCTGTGACTTTGGATCTGAGTGTCAGTTGTGTTCCTGCACCTTCCCTGGGGATTCACTTAGTTGCAAGGCAGGCATTGGGGCAGCCTGGAAAACCTGGATGAGGCCTATCGTATTCCCCAGCCTACGGGTAAGGTCCAGGCTATGGCTCTGAAAGAGGATGAGCTCAGGTTAGTCCTCATGTCTAAGGGAAGGCAGGCACTTACATTTGCAAGGCCCGATGTAGTCCAGGTGCAGTTTGTGTCCCTTCTTGGTTCCCTCCAAGGTGCACTTGGTGGCAAAGAAATGGCAGGAGGAATCGTAGGTCTTATTGTCGGTACCGCAGACCTGCACAGGGTGGGAGGAGGCAGCATGAGAGGAAGCAAAACCAGCCGTGCTTGATGGTCAGGAGGGAGAGCTTCCAGACAGGATGGCTACCTCAGTCCCTGAGGGTCACCAGGTGGACAGCAGCTCTCTGGGCATTGGGCAGAGGCCAGATGGGAACCGGCCACCCCAACCCAACCCAACCATCATCCCTGCCTTGTCTGGCGCCAGCAGTGCCGTGCGCGGGGTCCCTGCCCGCTCCTGTCCGTCTCTCCCCTCACCTTCTCGAACATGCCGGCGCTGGCTGGGCAGCTGGAGGGGTCCTGGCACACGCACATGGGCGAGTTGTTGTCGTCCACCTCGCACACCTTGCCGTGCTTGCAGTGGTGGTTCTGGCAGGGGTCTAGGAGAGGACGGGAAGCACAGTCAGAGCCAGCCCTGGCCTCACCTCCCACGGGGACTGCCCCAAGCACCTCTCCCAGCACTGGGAAGATGGGAAGGCTTCTGAAGCCCCCTCAGCAGCCCCTGGGCTGTTCCCAATCTCCTTCCTGTAGCCACGCAATGTGATGGCTCTCTCTAGTGCAGGAAGAGGTCATGCACCTTCCTATCTTTCAAACACACTTCCAGTCTGGAACCATCCTTGTGCTGCAGCCCTCCTTGAGGGAGTCCCTCAGTGCTTGGGGCGGCTGAAGGCCCCGGCCGGGAGCGGGGACGGAGCCGCTGCCTCTCAGGGAGGCGAAAGCCGGGGCTGACGGGGGGGCAGGGCCGGCACGTGCGC